GGCAGGGGGCCCCGAGCTGCACAGCGAGCAGCATTGTGCCCCGGGCAGCCCGCGGGCCGCTCTGCCGGGCTGTGCTCCCGACAGAGCCAAAGTTTGTTAGAGGAGCTCCCACCGAGTCCCGAGGTGAAGAAGGAACCTCTTTGCTTTGCAAACTCCTCAGAGAGGAGTCCAGGTGCGACTGCATCCACTCTTAGCCCCAGGCTTTGTCAGTGGTTATGTCTAGCTGTAATTATTATTATCCAGCTGTAATCGAACCTTCGTACAACTTTGTCCCGCAGGGATTAAGGATGGCAAACCAGAGATATTTATATAAATATACATGGTTTATTATGAGAATGGTTAGACAAAAAGTTTTAATCAGAATTATTTACTGCACGGTATAGAAGCTATAAGAGCCGTTATAATGTGCACTACAAAGCAATATTGAAGCAATATTAAAGCAATTGGATCAAAGCAGCAAAACCAATTATTAAGTAGAGATTGATGTTACTCACTCATACCAATGACTATGAGCAAATCTCTTTCGCTCTGCCTCGAGAAGTAACCTTGAGGGGTTGTCCCCACTCAAGGGAGGAATCCTCACACATGCAGTCCAAGAAGAGGTATGTTAGAAGACCCTACCCTTAAAATTTGGAACTGGGCTTTCATAGGAGTAAAGTAATTGACTGTCAGTCAGATGTCTCCAGGCCAGCTGTGTCAGCTCAGTTGCTTTAAATAAGTTATCAGTAGGATTATTTATTTGTTCCTTTACCAGTTTTGCCATATCTTCATCCCACGCTCAGGATGTTTAACGTTGGGGTTGATGAGTAAGGCTGCTGCTGCTGCTGCTGAGTGTAACCCCCAAGCCAGGAGGATTTTCTGTTTCCAGCTTTCTCCTCCGTGGGACAGTTTCTGGGCTTCAATTTGATGAGGCTTGAGGCTATTCTCAGAAACTGTATAAACATCGTAGGAGGTGACCTTTTTTCCCCCTGCATTTTTTAGCTTGACTAGACATTTTTTTAACTAAAAAATACCTGTCTGGGCAGCCTCCTTAGCTTGCCGGGGAGCAAACTGAAGCAGTGCCACACTTGTGCCATGCCTTGGAGGAGAGCCAGGGCCAGGATGAAGATTGCTGGGAAATGAAAGCAAAGTGGGAAGCACCAGTGGCATGTTTCCCAAGGCCAGCCTTGGGAGGAAGTTGGGAGCGGAAGTGGTTGACAGAGTAAATACAGAAAGGGTTTTTTTCCCCCAGGTTGCAGACAAAGAGCAGTGGGGAGAGCAGATAAGCCTGTGCTTATCCCTTTATTGTTCTGCCCTTGTGTTTTGCTGGCCCGTGTATCTGCTGGAAGTCTGATGGAGCAAAGGATCGCAGAGGGAATTGCTCAGAGCAGAAGCAGTGCCATTGGCAGCGATCTCAGCTGCGAGTCCCTGTGGGCTCCCCTCTCCCGGGAAGGATGCCTGGGAGTGGATGGGGACTGGATGGACAGAGGGATCTGGGGCAGGGAGGGAGCTTGGACGGAGGTGCTTTGTTGCTGTTCCTTGCCCGGAGCTCAGTTGTTGCCTGTTGAGTCACTGGAGGAAAATGTGACTTCATTCAGTCGCACCTCTAGCTGGCTTCCTCTGCCAGCAACAGGCATCTCTCCTTGCTGGATCCCACATGATGGATGTTCAGGGCAGCCAGAGGAGAGAGATGAGAGACCAAAGGCTTTGTGAAGGGCCTTCCCAAAACTGAGCTGAAAACCTCAGCTCTGGTTTCCCGGTCAGGCAGTCCTGCAGAACAACCTGTAGAAGGGCAACAAGAGCATCCCTTCCCTCCTTCTCACCATAAACCTTGCCCTGGGGTAATGCTGCTCTTTTCACCCCACCTGCACCACCAGTGGGAGCATCCATCTCATGAGCCAACTTGTTCCAGCATACTGGAATGATCTGGTGTCTCTGTTACTGTCCTTCCTTCTTGCTGTGGCAGGGTTAAGTTGACCTGCTGGTAATGGTGGATCCCACCTGGGTAGCTTTGCCCCCCGGCACCATACACACAAATAAAGTCCTTTGCTGGCTCGGCATCAGCTGGGAAATCTGTAAATTATGTTGTCAACTCGGCTGTGTGAAGTGTAGCTGTCTCTGCTGCAAGGAAAAGCACTCGCAGCCCGAGGGACAGGGCAAGGCGGTGCCAGGGCAGTTCCCGCACGCCACAGGTGCTGCCATCCGGGGCATCGGTTCCGCGTTCATGGAAATTATTCCGCTTTGCCTTGGGATGTGCAGGGCCAGAGGAAAGCACCGGCTGGCTCCTGCCTGCCGTCACCAAGGATGTCCATCCCCTGCATCCACCAAGGATGTCCATCCCTTACATCTGGCAGCCGAGCCGATGCTGGCACCCTGGGGCAGCAGCAGCGTGCTGGTGGTTCTCCTTACCCCTCCCGGCCCGGCGGAGCGGCAGCAGGTGCCCGGCGCGGAGCACGCGGGGCACACAGAGCCCCTCTGTTCCTCTCACAAAGAGACGCTTGTGGCTTGCGCTGCCCCGGCCACGCAGGGCCCAGCAGGAGAGAGCCTCGGCTGCCACGCGGCCCCGGCCAGCCTCGCCGGGTCACCTGCGTGTCCCAGCCCCGGGGCTCAGCCCTGCTGTGGGTCCCAGCACGGTGTTATCGGCCCACTGTTTATTCCATGAATTTTGTCTGCCTTGGGCACGTCAGTGAGGGTTTTGCCAGCGCTGCTGGAGGTGGCTCTCTGTGTCATCCCTAGGAGTAATTCCTGGCCTGTGGCTCTTTTGTTGTCAGTGTTTGGGGCAGGAACCCCC